CGTTTTGAATGAATGATTTTTTTTATCATCATTTGATTTAAAAATATTATTAATATTAAAAAATCGATAGTGTATGTCGATTGTTTTATGAGAAAACTAAATTAAATTAAACTTCAAAAAATCTAATAACTTTTTTTTCACAATTAAGCTAAAAAAATCTTAAAAACTAAAAAGGCGATTAGCAAATTCAATAAACTTCATTTTCAAATCAGGTTTGGATCTGGTGGCCATGTCTTCATCGACTTCAAACAAGGATTACGGCTTTTCTAATTTTGATGAGCTATTATGCCCTTTCAAACAAAAAAATGTCGAATTGAAAACCTCCTTCTTTTTTTAATTCGGTTATAAATTACAATATTCTTCGCTGCAAAAATACCAACAAATTTACAATTAATGATAATAATAATAGTAAAATTGAAAACTTATCTGCTATTTACTTTCCTAAAATGATTGTCAATTTATAAAAAAATAAGTAAACATTTATCTGCTACTGTTTCCCTAAAATTGATTCATTTAATACATAGAAACTACTTCCTGGCTTAAAGAAACAAACTATTTCGCATCGAACGAAAATTCCATAAAAAACGAAAGTTGGCGTCTGCATAATATTAACCGCTCTATAATTCTGTCGTCTTACCAACATACGCGAGGGAACAATTAGCCAATGGTAATTATGCAAGGATCCGTTGAAGCGTTTTACGCGGTCGCGCGGTAATGGCGCGGCGCGTACAAATCGCGTAAAACGCGCCGCTTACGCCCTCGCAACACTTGATTATGTTTACTTTTTAATAGCGCGTAAAGCACAGATTAAAGAATTTAGGGTTGTGGAAGAGAGCTTGAATCACGAACATGATTATATACGGTGTATGTAATAAATATACTTTAATGTAAATTTGAATCTTTGTTATTTAAAAACAGGTTGCTCGTTTTTATTGTCAACCAAAACATTCTGGGGAGCGTCCACCTGAATATTTTGCTATTTATTTAACGTTTTAAAGGCAAAGTAACCATTATATTAACATAGATAGGTAGGTATTTTTGATATAAAAAATATGAATGTACTGTTACAGCAAACAATTTATAATAATTTTAATACTCTTAGTTTTGTATTACGAATTATATACATTTAAATAGTGCACAGTGCTTAAAATTGGCAGGACAACTAATTTAAATTAAAAATCAGCTTTATACGAAAGAACAATGGTCAAAATGGACTACGAAAAAAAAGTTCTTGTACTAAGATGGAACTATCACCAAAATGTAGTATAAGTTGAATGTAATTATTATATACCAACAATTTATTTTTAAAAGCTGGGAAAAGAAAGATAATCCTCTCTAAAATATGTCTTTATTTTTTAGAACGCAGTTTAAATTATGTTATTTTTGAACGCATCTTATTAATAATGTCATTCCTAGAGAAGTCCCTCTCTTTTTAAAGAACAAGATCGATTTTATTTCTGACTAATCGAATTTGATACAAATCTTATATTATTTAAGAACCATATAAATCCGTGAAAATTATAAAACTTAGATTAGATTACTAATATAGTTAGATGTTGCTTAGAGGAAAATAGTTTATTTATAATGAAATTAAAAACAAATTATTATTCATAAGAATCGATATTACAGTATTCAATCGATTGCGACCTCCCTTTTTTCGTTCCAATTTTAGTATATGTACTGCCGACCGCCTCCCTTTTTTAGACAAGTATGTGTGTGTAGACGTGTTTCTACGCAGACCGTTTTGTAACTTTGGCGGTGATTTTGTATTATCTTCTGTATTATGGGGAGCATACTAGGATCCATGGGCAGTATAGAAATGAGGTCTGGAGAGAAATACCGGTTTTTCTGGATTTATTAGAATTAGACTTAAATATAAATAAAGTCCTAATTATAACGAGTAGAATTAAGTCGAGACATTGGGAGGAAACAATATTATGTGTACTTATTGCTCATAATATTGTTTCCTTACACTGGGATGCTTTGTTCATATGATGATCATAGTTTGGTATCTTGGAGTAGCGTTGTGTTACCCAATCTTTTTTAATGAGGATGAGTGAGTACCTCATTTTCCCTCGTGAGGGGCTCACGAGTTACCCCTCATTTGAGGTGAGGATAGGTAATGTTATAGTAGCAGTGAATGAGTACGTAGCGAGGCGCGCGCAACATTGCCGTTTGGTACAAAATGAGGGAGGGAGTCGATAATGCTAAACATAACATATTTTGTCTTTAGATTCTAAGAAACAAACTTTATTAGATTATTATTAAACAGAATGACCACAACATACAACTTATTTGCAATAGTGTCAAAAGTTCCATTTTTAAAATCGATCAATCATTTATATTCGAATCATATAAATATATTTCTAAATGAAACCGATACATTTTTATTAACTTTGATTTTTACTAAGACTAATTAATATCATTTGTCTATAAAATATAAAATACGTATATGCGAAGAAACACATAAACAAACCTGAATCGTTCCAAAAAACTCATAAAACTTAACCCATTCCCTCAATCTTGAATATATTGAGTAAGTATCGAGTCGCCTTTTCATTTGAAACAACTCGCTATTTAGCTCCTCACTTAATGAGGTGGTTCAAAATTGAAAAACGAGTACTCCCTCATTTTGTCGAAATGAGGAACTCAAACGAGGCAACTAGCGAGTGAGGGGCTCATCACTATCTTGGAGGGGCCAGACACGAACAGAATGTAGCTGCTCCTGCAGGATTCCGTATTCATTAGAGTTGTAATAAAGAAAAGAAAAATCAACATGTTGTTTTGCTATATCCTTTTGGAATTTGTATTTTCACTACTACTTTATATAAGTTATAGTGTAAGATAGAAAAGTAGAGTTATTGAGAGCAATCTTAAAAATTCTATTATTTTTTTTCAAGTTCATTGGTTCACAAAAAATGATTTTATTTCTTACAGTCAATAAAAATAATTTATCAGATATGGAGCAAGTTTGAAGTATTATGTGAAAGTATGCACTTCTAGGATTACGATTAGGCATTATCTGACGTGTGCTTTACATATTTCAACTGTAACACCGCTAACTCAAAATGCTACAGTTTAAATAATACGACATAACCTCAAAAACATATTACACAATTACTCGATACTCCCAGCTTTTAAAAATATATTTAATATCTTTCTTTGTTCTAGTTGCATAGGCAAACAAAATAACATATGTTTCATCAAGTTACGTTTTATTCGATTTTACTAGTCCAAGCATGTTAGGCAGATGGCCATTGTTCTTTATAGTATTTATTATATTAAATCGTTTAATAGATCAAAATTTTCGTATTGAAGTTATTATGCAGTGGTTAGCGGTTATTCTGAAATAAAGCGCTGTCACAACAAATAGATACATCTTTTTAATGAAGATGTTATGCAAAATACCTGAATACAAATATATTGCATTTAAAAAAATCATTATTCAATATTCTTTATTCGTTGTAAGCTGTTTTAACAAGCTTAAGTTTATATCTACGAAGAGAGGGCTGCACTTGAACTCAACAAGTGCTGCTTTCATTTCTCTTATATTTTATACAGACAAATGAATTTGAAAATGCAAAAAGAAAATAAATGATTTATAAATAACAAATGAATATATGAAACAATTATGATCCGTTTTTCTTAACATTTAGTACAATATAGTAATAAAATGGATATTTCAATGAAATTTTATTATGATCACATATTTTATAATTTTTGCATTCACAATGCTATACTGGTAAATATTCATGAAAAACGCTTAATTATCTGGCGCTTGTGGATTTTTGTTTGTTTAAAAAGATGCAATAAGCTAGATTAATGACACTCATAAAGTATTGTAGTTTTTTACGTTCGGATACTCTGACGGTCATACATTGCAACAAGTATTGTACGTTTCGATGCACGCACGTTTCACATACGCAGTATTCCTTTACCATAGCCCTCATTAAGCATCCAACTTCCAGAAAAGGAATAATGCCCGCACGCAATTCCCCGTACATAATGCGAGGATATTTTTCGTAACGGTAACATAATTTTCGCGGTATCAACCTTTGAGTTATCTTTATTGTAATTTGAACTCGTAAAAGGCAAAATAACAATTAAAATAATTACATAAGTATATGTAAATACTCGCATTATCTCAACTCGTATCAGAACGCGTAAGCTAATTAATTTCACGCAAAAGATTAAAACCAATATATTGTATTTTTGAACGTTGTGAATTTGGCGCGTTCGTTTTTTGACATATTTTCTTTTAAAGTGACGCGGTGTGTAAAGTATTGTGCCTTTGGCTATAGATATCACATAATCAATTTTTCTGTCTATGATTTAAACGTATCATTTTTATTGTAAGAAGATAAACGAATATTTATGCAACTTTAAATGCGAATTGGCAAAGCGACCGCTATTTTGTTTTGTTGTGTTTTTCAACCAATTTAATAATATCTGTGCGTGTATATTAACAATGACGAATTTATAACATTCCTCAAACTATTCTTTCGTGTTTGTTCCTGTATGTTATGATATATTAAGACGTAATAATAGACTAACTTATTTTATTATGACGTAATATCGGGTATGCCCTTGGTGTGTCTATAATTCTCAAATTATTTTCAACGCGTTCTATCTGATTTTCGGTCGAGGTGACAAATGATGCGCTGTCAAAGCTAGCGTGACAAACGTCAGCCTGACAGGTGACAAATCGACCACATGTACATTTACATCTAACTAACCCCTAGTATGAAATTTGATAGTGTATGAAACTAGATTTCAATACTGGTTTCTATATCATTACTATTTAACATTATTATGACTTCCTGAAAAGTAATGTCAAAGAATTGTGATAATTTTATTTACAACTGTTATGTCGTACCTTTTCAATATAATAATAATAAATTTGATGATATTTTATATTGGAATCTAGTTTAATGTAATAAAGCGAGTCCTAGGGGTGTATATTAGCATTTAGCAGCATTACTATTCTTCAATTGTCTCAGATTTGAACTCGGAATACATGGAGATGGGCTTCCGGGGAGCGGGGGGCATCGGCGGCACCTCGCGCACCAAACGTATGCGCACCAGCTTCAAGCATCACCAGCTGCGCACTATGAAGTCCTACTTCGCCATCAACCACAATCCTGACGCGAAGGACCTGAAACAGCTCAGCCAGAAAACTGGATTGCCTAAACGAGTTTTGCAGGTAATAACAAAAATATATATACCATATAAATCTTTTTCTTTTTTTTTTTTAAATTTGCCGCGATTAAACGCCTTACATTTAAGTCAAGTTACTTTTCTATCTAAGGAAGTAAAAAAACTTTTATTTTAACGTTGTCGTGTTTTGTTTTTATTATTTTTCTGTGTAAAATTAATAACGTCATCTAAGTTGCCGGGCGTTGTGATAATTTCGTATCAACGACTTATGTGTCGGCGTTTAATCGCAAAAAAGCGGTATACGGGAGCTAATGCGAGTTTAATGTAACGATATCGCGTCGCTTACACTAGCCTCTTATCGACGTTTTGCACAGCGAACTGGTTCCTTTACACTGTGCCAATGACACGCCACTTTGAAACGGGATTTCAGAAAGAGTTGGATCGTTTTATTTTTAATTTATAATTATAATACGTTAACTCTAAAAGAAGTATTTGTCTTCGTTCTGTGACGTGTTTATGGAGCAGTAACGCAATTTGGTGCAGAAAAAATAATGCAACAGCTAATATGTTTTGTTGCACGATTTTTATTGCTCGTTGTAACATCATTTTGAGTGCTCCTAAATATTCAAATAAAAATATTTATTAACGCATTTTGAGACGATTCTTTTTGTATTCATGTATCATGTTCGTATATATGAAGCAGTTTAATTTGTTCGAAATATTTTATGGACTGTTTTGATTGTTATTGTTCCGAGTTTTTATGTGGTAAGCGGTTTATTGTTGTGGATTTTCTTTTTGTGTGTTGAACCCTCATTGTGATTTTAGCATTGCAATCACAGGTAAGTCGACGACCATGAATAAAATAAGAAGTATATATTTTTGGGACTTATTATATTTTCAAGAGTGGTTTAAAATATATAGAAATTAGAACTGTATATTTGAGTTAAATGTTAAGTTTAATCCCAATAGCTTCCAAACTGAATTTAATAAGACATTAAATGTTTTATTATTTATAATAATTCTAATCTAAAAACTGAATTATTACAAGTTACATAATAAAAATCGAAAGAGTTTTCGTACGTGAGCAAATCAAACAAAGGAAGGTACAATGCACCATAGACAATCTCCACGTGTTGCCAGCAATTAACGTACAAAGACCCTTTGACCGCCGCAGACTATATTAAAAGGGCCGCTTGGTAAACAAATTGAGGCAATATAGGTTCTAAATAGTGTTAGAAGATGCCGAAATGTACTTTAACTATTAGATGTGTGTGATGCGTGCATCTAAAGTTTGCTCGGTTGACTTGAAAACGGTGCAAAGGGCACCTATTAGCCACCACCTATAAGTGAGTTAGAATGGTTTTCTTCATTCAAGTATAGTATTTCCATACTAAAATTGCTTAGCGAGGATTAAAATGAAGCAACAACTGTTGTAGAAAGCTTAGAGTATACGAACGAGAGTTAGGTACACGTTATGATTATCATATAACACTTATGAAAATCATGACACAAAATACAACACGTTTGTTAATGATTATAATATATACCTAAACAAATAAGCATATCTTTAATACTCATATAAATAATCACTTTAGGTGAGTATGCGCTTCTTCACCTTAAACCCTATGTAAAGTTTTATAAATATATATAGATATTTTTTTATTTTTTATTTTATTTATTTAAGGTACACCAACAGTTATACATGTACCAATAGCTATACATGTAAACACATTTTTTGCATACGGGAATCATTGTACAGGTCCTACATGATAGCCAATAACTGGCATACACAACACTGCCAAGAATTTGGTTAAGCTACTTGAGAATACAAGATACTAATATGAAATATACATCAAAATTACAAAAAAAAATATAATAAAGCATTAAAATTAACACATGTACTTACACCGATTACTGACCAATATGTTTCAGCACTTTATCCTTGTAAACTGTAAAGCTATCGTTAAATATATCACTATCGGGTACAATATTTGATATCTTGTTATATAATGAGCATAATCTAGAAAGTGGCCGATGCAAACCCAAATTGGTTCTAATATATATATTTTGAAACTAACGGAATTAAATTTAGAGACATATATTTTTTATTTAATAAAAGGTATTTCGGAAAATGTAGCGCAGAACTTCACACGTGCAATGATGGAAGATTACCCTATGCAACAAAATCTATATCTACTTAATGTTAATTTTCATAGTCAAGTTAGCAGTATAAGGTAAGATTAGTGATTGTGACAAGACTTAATTTATGATAAAATTTGGGCCAGTAAAAAATTTAATCCTTAGAAATATTTCTTTAAACATGCTAATTTAAACATTTATTTAATGCTAAAACTATGATTACACATTTATAGATATAAGTATTAAATCCTATGGTGGCAGTTCTGTACACTTCAAAAGAGCTTCATTTTTCTTTCGTAAGTGTTTTAAATGTTAAAAATAAAGCTTTTAATTATGTAATTGTTAGTAAAAGAAATTAACAATATCTGACTTATCATATCAGTCAGATTTAAGCATTTTAATTAAGAATAAATGTATATAAAAAAAACTCTAATTTTTATTTCAAATAATGTTTTTAATAATATCTAATTGTAATTGAATAGTTGAGTTCGCTTTCATGTAAGTAAAAAACTTGATAAAACATATATTGATTGAAAATGTGGTAGACATTATTTTCTGGCAACATCCGAATAATAGAGCGTTTCCACTGATTTTCCCCTACCAATTACGCGGAACCGCCAATGAACCCTCGCCCCTTCCAAATTATTGATCGAGATTTTTATTCGCCAAAAAGCCTCCGCTCTCCGTCGCCATTTTGCTCTGAGATAAGGACTTTTTCCTTTTTGAAGCAGCAAACTTAAGCGGGCGGAATGGTTGGAATTCGTTTTATTTATTTTTTTAGTTTCGAGAACCACTTTAGAGAAAATCCACTGAATCATTTCGATTTAAAAGTAAGACTAACAATATAAAAATATACAGTTATTATAAGCCAGCATATTGCTTTTTGATAACGCAGTTACTTATGTAATATACCACATAGGTAGGTACTATTTATGTATGCACATACCCTAAATTAAATTTACCGTATGTGTTTAGAAGTTCATACACACTATGACTATGAATATTGCGCCATTCAGTCAAATAGACAATCTCCTTTATTGAATTCGGTTAAAACATTAAATCTATAATTACTTCTTATTTTACGAAACGGCTATTCACTCGTTATAATTTTCAGTATAATAATATTATTAAACACGAACTGTATAAAAGCTCTTAATCTTTCTTTTTTTGTACGACATTGTTTGCATGTTACTTCAAAAGTGTTTTCAATAAGCTTTAGTGTATTTTCATTTTATTTAACCGATGAACTATTTTCATTTAGCTATGATGACATCCAACATGTTCTTGTAATTGATACGATAAAAATTTAATTTGTTTACAATTTTTGTATCGAATCTGAAACGGAACTGTTTTTGTTGAACAAAAGATTTGCATTTTATTTTCTGTAAAATATACTTTTATTCTTATTTTAAAGATTAAAATAAACACATTATTTATTGTTTGGTAGAGTCAACAGAACGTATAAATTTTATCCTTCAGGTATATTATTTCATATTACCGCCATCTATTGACAGTACAAAAAAAACGAATCAAACCGTGAGGTTTCATATATACAAACATTTGCAAAACATAGCTTGAAATCAACCCTTCCGTTCATAAATGGAAATTCTATGCAATAGGGATAACGGGATGAGTATATCCCGCGTTTTTATACAAATTACCAATAACTATTAGTTGATGAGCTCAATGGCGCAGCGGATAATGCGTTCGGTCGGTGATAAGTTATTTTCGTAAGGGTCTATTATAGGACAAACGTGATTAGAGCATCCAGCATTGAGCTGGATACATCTTGGGCTACTGTTTCACACTTAGGCGCGGTTATGCGACTCATTCTGATGTCTGTTATTTCTTTAAATATTTCTGCTATAAATGAACTGAGCATATAACAATAACTTGTAATGTAGTGGTCAATTTACTTTTATTGCATTCCACAATGTAGTATTAGATGTTCATAAAAGTATAATTGTAGACCCCGTCGGGCACAGCAAATTTGGAGAGAGGAGAGAACATTGCTTTAAAATGTAGGTAAAAAGTATTTCCTTTCTTTTATAAACTAAATAATTTATGTCTTGAAAACTTACCTATTTAATAGATATATGAATTAAATAGATATTAAAGTGAAGATACATAACTGGAATATTCAAATTCAAATTTTTTATATGTTATGATCTTTCTTAGTTTAAGTTTTCTATTGAGTTTAGCAAATTATTGTATATTTTTATCGACATTGCTAGTGGATCAGAAGAGTGTAATTTAGACGGGAGGTTGCTATAGTTAGTTTATTCCGATTACGTAAATTATAAGTACCTAGTTGTATCTTCACGTTTTTTTATAAATTTCCTGGTAATTTCGTACAAACTTACATACTTCTAATCTATATATGTGTAGGGCAGTGATTCTCAACCTTTTTTTGTTGCGGCACATATTTAACGATTTCAAAATTTGGCGGCACACAAAGAAAAAGATAAAAATTATTTACTTACTATTACACGCTGCATAAATAGTTTATGACAAAAATTTTAAATATACGAAATAAACTAATATATAATACAATAATAACTAAACGTTTATTAAGGGATTAATTACAAGCTAATAATAAAATATTATTAATGCGAAATTTGAGCTTGATGTTTTTTGATAATTTCATTTATATTTGGTCGTAAAAATAACAATGTTACTCTCATATCGTCTTCTACATTTAACACTACATGCAAATAAATTAATATTAAACCGAATCACATACATTTGCCAATTTTAATGAAAGAAAAGGTGCACTAACTACTATGCAACACCTTGTAAATCCCAACTATCACTAAAACAACACATTTTGTACGCAGAAGTGGCAAGTGTGCGCCGACTTGAGACATATTCCTATTGCTATGCACGCCGCTTCATCATAATTTGGCA